AACCAAAGCAATCAATTACAAAGGGTTTAAAAGAAGAACCGAAGCACAATGGCACATGCCTGTAAAAGCAGTACTGAGGAAGTAGAATCAAGATCAAAAACCAGCTGTAACTATGTAGCAAGTCTGAATCCAGCCCTTGTTACATTAGGAGGAGGAGGAGGAGGAGGAGGGAGGAGGGAGGAGGGAGGAGGAGGAGGAGGAGGAGGAGGAGGAAGAGGAGGAGGAGGAGGAGGAGGAGGAGGAAGAGGAGGAGGAGGAGGAGGAGGAGGAGGAGGAGGGAGGAGAAGGAGGAAGGAATGTAAGAGGGTGTGCCAAGGAGGGGAAGGTGCATGTGAAAAGTCCCTTTTGTTTCACCTGTCTCGTCCTCCTCTACTGTATAAAGTTGATACTGGTATTTAAACACTCACTATTTGGAAAAACACAAATGATCACACTTTCTTAAACACAAGGCTAAATACCCTTTTTAGCCAGTAAGAATCATTAAACCAGTTCATTTCAGTTACTTCAGTCTGTGTTTAGGAGTGTGCTCAAGGAATTCATACCAATTCTAGTATCTGGCAAAGAAAAAACAACAGACAATTTATTTAAATTATATAATTTATTTAATCAAAAAGTATGTAACTAGCCAGGTGTGGTAGTACAAGCCTTTAATCCCATCATTGGGAAGGGAAGAGTCAGCCTAGAGAGAGGCAGACCTCTGTGAGTTTGAGGTCAGCCTGATCTACATAGCAGGTACCAGGACAGCCAGGGCTAGACTGTGTCTCAAAAAACCCACAAAAATAAATTTGAAAAAAAAAATAAAAGATAATACCAGCACTAAGGCTGTGAAATCTGAAGAATTATAAATCAAGCCAGCCTGCACTACAAAAGCAAAAATATATCTGAAAAAAATACTTTTTAAAAAACTTAACTTTAGGCTGACACAGAAGGATCTCTGTGAGGCCATCCTGCTCTACACAGTGAGTTCAGAATAGCCAGAATTAAACAGAGAGATACTGTCTCAAATAAAAATACTAATACTAATACTTCTAATTAAGAAAAACCTTAATTTTTAAAAAGATAAACACAACTGGGTGTGGTGGGGCACGCCTTTAATTCCAGCACTCAAGAGGCAGAGACAGGCAGATCTCTGTGAGGCTAGCCTGGTCTACAAATCAAGTTCCAAGACAGACAAAGCTACACAGAGAAACCCTGTGTTGAAAAACCAAAACACTCACACACATTCACACACACAAACACACAGGTGCACAAACCCTCCCACCCTCTGGAGTGAATCAGGCTTGATGCTATATATCTGTGATTCCAATTCTTGGGTGTCTGAAGCAGGAAGATTATAAAGTCAACGACAGCCTAAACTACTATAGAAAGACCTTATCTCCTCTCACAACACCAAAAAAACACATCTTTCTAAATCCAAAGGAAAAGGCACATCTAGGATGAGACGTGAATGAGGGGATGACTAAACTTGACGGTGGATGTTACCCTTGAATGTAAAACAATATAAATCAGAGTTCCTGTGATTTTTCTCATCTCAGAATGTTCAAAGGACTTAGGATGACATATTCATCTAAACAGAGAAAACATAATCCAATTTTTTTATTCTTTCCATTAATCCAAACTATAACAATAATAGTTTCAATAGTTACAATAATAGTTTCAATATTACAATAATAGCTTCAACTGAACTCTTTAGAAGAAAACCTATCCTGGGTTTAATATATTTCAAACACTTAAGATGGACAGATTCCAGGGAACAGTAAAGGAAATGACCACATAATTCTTAAAATACAGGAAAATCATCCCAGTTGACATTTAAACTATGCGCATGCACTTCAATAAAAGATATACGACACCTAATCCTAGCTAGCTTCCTTATTAATATGATAAACACAATGGAAAATGTGAAAATCAAAGTTACATTTTAAGTTTTAATCACTATGCCGTAGGGATCCATGAAGCAAAATGCCTCTGATCTGCAAGCCCCTTCCAAAAAACAGTTCCTCAAATGCTGGATGCTATTGTTTATGGGATATAACAAGCAACATGTTTCCACTCCCATAAACAAGTTTGTTTGACCCATCTGCACCGAATATGTTGGATCACATGTGGGCAAGAGGTTCACACTTGTCCCTGACTGGATGTAGGCTGAAGGAATGTCCAGACGCATGCTTGTCCCTGACTGGATCTAAGGGAAATACTTAAGATGCTGCAAAACTTGATTCAGGGCCATCTTCTGGAAACCTGGAGATGGACCTGGTAAGAGCCCATCCACTTGGCCAGTATTTAATTAAAGCTTGCTATAAATGTAGCTTTAAATTGTGGTAGTGGTCTCAAACCAGTGGAATTAACAAAAAGAAATTTGGGAAGGAAAGGGTTTATTTTGTCTTACAACTTTCAGGTCACAGTTCACCACTGCGGGAAGCCAGGGCAGAAATCTGACGTGGGAACTGAAGCAGAGACCAACAGGACACTAGCCTGTTTTCTCCTGCAACCCAGGCCCACCTGCTCCGTCTAGTATCACACATAATGGGCTGGGTCTCCTACATCAATTAATAATTAAAATGCCTCAGACACACACCCATAGCCCTTTCTGATGAAAGCAATTCGTCAGCTGAAGTCCTCTCTTGCCAGGTGTCAGGTTCAAACCCAGGATTAGCCTTCTCCTATCTATAATCCCAGTACTCAGGAATCCGAGAAAGGAAGGCTACCTGTAGACAAAACACTCATACACATAAAATAAAAATGAAACATCATCACTCGGGAGGCAAAGGCAGGCGGATCTCTGTGAGTTCGAGACCAGCCGGGTCTACAGAGCTAGTTCCAGGACAGGCTCCAAAGCCACAGAGAAACCCTGTCTCAAAAAAACCAAATAAAATAAAAAATAAAATAAAACATCTTAAAAAATTTTAAATACTATAAATTTCACTTATTTATGAATAACTCATTAGTCCAGAATGGATTTTGTTGCTTGTGAGTTTGCAGCTGTTAAGGTCTCACTAAGTAGCCCAGGCTAGCCTCAAACATGCCCAGCCTAGGGAATGTTTAGATTATAGGCATATATCACCATAATGAGGTCCCAAAAAGTATTTTTCTTCACTATAAATAAGTAATTATTTACAAAAGCAGGGAGAAATAGAAACAAATATTCAATATGATATAGCTTTAACTTACAAAATTAAAGTTACTCTAAAGTGTTTTGAAACTAATTTTATATAATTTTCTGTTCATGACTGCCATAATACCATATTTCTGCATTACTCTTTAAGCTTCCCCCCAGACCTATACTGACTCCACAAAATGAAAATTGTGACATCACCTTCTACAAAGGGACAACACAAAGGGATATCCCTACAAAGGGATAAATAAAGGAAGATTTAGCAGTAAATACAATAACCTCCTTTCTCATGTCACTTACCGTCTTTAATCGAGAACATCTAAAACTCTTTACAAAGTAACAGTCGTTGATGGTTGTAGAACACATCATAACAGCTTTTACTATAACCTATAGAGCACTCTAAGTGATTGACATATAGTAATCTTCATAATTCTGTAAGCAGGAATTATTTTCATTCTATTACAGATAGAACTGAGTTAAGGGCAGGCTCTAATACACCCAGTGTCATTCTGCTATGAATGATACGCTAGGTCCCAATAGGCAAGCGCCAACAAATCCCAACATCAGATGTTTCAGAGGCCAAACGTCAATAGAACTAATAATCATACAACACACACACACACACACACGAACACACACTTCCAACCTGCCTTGATTGTGTTAGCATGATATGTTACAAATGTTGGTTAAAATGTACAAAGCAATAATTCAAAGTGCAGCTCTACAGTTAAACGAGAGAGAGTGTACAGAAAACATGGCCAGGACTTTCATCAACTCCCTAGCTACTTTCCCTGATATCAAAGGCTAAGCAAAAGCCCACAACTGTCAGCTTGGGAATGACTACTTTACCTCACATCTCCTCCTTCACACTCATCGCTGCTCATCCCCATGTCTTCACTTCCCTCCCACGACGTCTTCAGATCCAGTGAAACAGTCATCTCTATGATCTGGTCAGCTCACTAACAAACCCATCCTCGCCACCCTGCAGTCTTTTCAAGCCTCAAACTCATCAGTACTCCAGAGTCAGAGAGACTGGGAGTCCCTCACTGTGGACACCAAGAGCCTCCGCAACACAGCTCAGTGCCCACTATAAACCTGGACCAGTCCTGAAAATCCCACTGAACTGTAAACCTGGAAAGGTCCTGAAAATCCCAGAGGAACAAGGGCACTCTCACAAAACACACACATATAGCTTCAGGATTTTATCTGCTACGTTTGTGATAAAACTTGTCTTTAGAGCCGGGCGGTGGCGGCGCACGCCTTTAATCCCAGCACTCGGGAGGCAGAGGCAGGTGGATCTCTGTGAGTTCGAGGCCAGCCTGGTCTACAAGAGCTAGTTCCAGGACAGGAACCAAAAGCTACGGAGAAACCCTGTCTTGAACCTGGTCTGCTCTTCGGGCTGATGAGAGAGGGGGAGTTGATTGGGGGAGGGGGAGGGATATGGGAGGTGGTGGTGGGGAAGAGACAGAAATCTTAAATAAATAAATAAATAAATTTAAAAAAAAAAAACTTCTTTCCACTTTTGACACTGCTAGAGAGCTGACATCATGTGTTGTTAAAGATATATCTCATTTTGGGGATGTGAACTTCAAAAACTGTCCTACTAAAAATAACTATCACCAATAACTTTTATAACCATGAATCCTACAAAAACAAGAGGAAGAAGGAATTAACAATTTTTTTTTTAACTCAGGAAAAGTCACCAATGAAAATAATCTTTAAAAACCATCCTTTCAGTTTCAAAATCCTTTATATTGCCTTGGTAATATTGGTGGGAAACACTGGTTACATGACATATGGCTAACTCAGCATTTTCATGCCATTTAAAAATAAGGAACATAAATTCAAATATTTTAAATAAAACATGAAAAGAGAGAAGAAATACCTCAAGCTCCACCAGAGCTGCAGTCACTGCATCTGTCGCAAGAGCACCAGCCTGCAGCTTCTCAATTGCCTGCGGAACCAAGAGGAGAAATTATTCACTGTAAAACCAGCTCGGCAAACCTATCATAAGCTTTGCAAAGACTTAAAAGTGCGAGAAACTCAGAGTAAAAATCGGTCAGCATTTCCACTCCATACTTGAAAGCAGAGCAGGGTGTGTGACCTGCTGACACTGAGACATCAAGAAAAGTATTTATTCACAGGAAGGCAAAGGCAAGTGAATTCCAGGCCAGCCAGAGCTACAAAATGAGATCCTGTCTCAAAAAAAATAAAAAAATAAAAAATAAATAAAATAAAATACATACATACATACATATATAAATTCTCAAAAAATTATTTTTTAAAGAAAGGAAGAAAGACAATAAACTACTTAAGAGGAAGTTTTCCCCACCTTTCCATAGAATTCAGTCATGTAGTAATATTTAAAAGGATATGGTTTTATGTGCCCATAACTATAAAGGTACAGACTTCAATCTGGGGAAGGAGAGGAGAAAGCTAAACATCATTCAAAGAATTAAAAACACTGATCAAACTAGAAACTGAGGACTAAAGTCCTACAAATATGAGTACAATAACTTTGGGATCCAGCCAAACTTCACTGGAAATGAAAAGTAAAACTCTCAATCTCAAGGTGAAGCTTCATATGCAGAATCACAGGCATTACACACATGCTGCTCATACCTTCTGACAAGCTCGTTTGCATACATGTTTATATTCCTTGGCTTTGGATTCTGAATGATAACCTGCACCTACAGTAAAAAAACAAACAAAGAACAAAAAAATGTTAGTAACTGCTAAACTACCAGTGGCTCCACCAACTAGGAAAGCAGCCCACACATGCAGTCCCAGGGCCTTGGCTGTACGGGATTCTAGACTCTACAGTTGATGACATAAATCACAAAACAATCCCACATCAGTTCAGAATTATGAATAATAAAAGAGTTATTTATTTAAGGGGAAACGGGGGGGGGGCGGAAGCAAGAGAGAGGGTGCATGTTTACAGCTGCTTTTACAGCTGCTTTTACAGCTGCTTTAACAGTTTAAGAGACCATGCCCAAGTGGGCTGGTATCTTAAAGGCTGTTGGCTGAAGGAGCAAAATTTGCTCCCATAGCATACAGTTGCTATCCTTATTCAAAAAAGTTTCCTGTCAGAGCTCCTAAGAAGAGCATGTGTCCTTAAAGATCCTTCCCATGATCACTCCCCACCCCCTTTCAAGAACCTCTACCAAGATTAGAGATACCTGCAGCAAACCAGACAACCTAAGTTCTATTCCAGGGGCCTATAAGACAAAAAGAGAAAGCCAACTTCCACAAGTTATTCTCCCCCACCACCACACACATTAGATGGACAGACAGACAAGATGATAGATAGATAGATAGATAGATAGATAGATAGATAGATAGATAGATGATGATATAGAAGATAAGATAGATGATATAGAAGATAAGATAGATAGATAGATAGATAGATAGATAGATAGATAGATAGAGATAGAGAGATGGATGGATAGATAGATAGATCTATATAGATGATAGAGAAAGAGAGATAGAGACAGAGAGACAAACAGACAGATAGATAGATGATATAGTAGATATGATAGATAGATAGATAGATAGATAGATAGATAGATAGATAGATAGATAGATATAGAGAGATGGATAGATATAGATAGATCGATATAGATGATAGAGAAAGAGAGATAGAGACAGAGAGACAAACAGACAGACAGATAGATGATATAGAAGATAGATTAGATAGATAGATAGATAGATAGATAGATAGATAGATAGATAGATACAGAGAGATAAAGAGATGGGAGATGGATGATAGATAGATAGATAGATAATGATAGATAGATAGATATAGAGAAAGAGATAGAGACAGATAGATATAGATGATAGAGAGATAGAGACAGACAGACAGATAGATAGATAGATAGATAGATAGATAGATAGATAGATAGATAGATGTGGTTTTTAACTTAAAAAATACTAAACTCAGGAGTTCCTTTGGTATGGAATTGATAAAGCAGGGGTGCCAGGAATTAAGAACCTTGAAGTCCCTCTCTAGTGATCTTTTAATTTGGGAAATTACTATTTAGAATCTAAAATTCTCAAGAATTCTCCAAAAATCCTACAGACAGTTACTTAAAAGTTTGGCTCCAAATAAACTAGTTTCCTTAAGGAAATTTATCCTTGGAACTAGAGAGACAGCTCAGTGGTTAAGAGCACCTGCCATTCTTCCAAAGAAACCCCATTCAGTTCTCAGGACCCATATCAGGCAGCTCACAACCAACTACCCAACTCCAGCTCCACGAAATCCAATGTCCTCTTTTGGTCTCCACGAGTGCACACATGTATCTCTCTCAGTCTCTGTCTCTGTCTCTGTCTCTATCTCTCTCTCACACACACACAATACGTAAGTAAATTTTTAAAAATTATTTTTATTACTTTTAATTCTGTGTGTCTGTCTATATGTGCATATTTACACAAGTGTCCAAGGAAAACAGAAGAAAAGTATTCCATTCTTTGGAGCTAGAGGTACTTGTATTTGTGAGCAGCCCAACATCAATGCTCAGATGTGAACTTGAGTCCTCTTCAAAAGCAAATGCTTTCTGATGCTTTTTAAGATTTATGTGTCTTTATTTTATGTGTAAGTCTATGCACCACTTGCATGCAGTGTCCACAGAGGCCAGAAGAGGGCGCTGGATCCCCTGAACTGAAGTTACAGGCAATTGTTAACTACGATGTACGTGCTGGAAATTGAACTCCTGTCCTCTAGAATATCAGTCTGTGCTCTTAAAGTCTGAGCCATCTCTCCAGATCCTTATTTTTAATTAAGAGGGTCAAGCTAGGGATGGGAGTACAAGGAGAAAGGGGAACAAAAGGAAGAAAAACAAGAACGTTAAACTCTTGATGGCTTATGTTCTTATTAAAGTTCTTTAGTATGACTCTCCTCATTCAGTAGATTCCATAGAGGTCAAAGCTAAGGAAGGTTAAAGTTACATGTCTAATCTCCCAACTCTCCTGTGGATCTAGTGAAAACATAACACAACTTTTCTCAAGGCTGAGAAAAAACTGACCCATAAACAGTGTTACAAGGACCTCGGACAACAGAAACAATGGTTAAGCAACTAGAGTCCCTAAGGCTCAAAAAGTTTCTCTTTCAGAGAAAGCTAAAAGCTCATAGAGTCACTATCAGTCTTGGTCAAACCTATCTTCACAGCTCTCTTTTGACGCCATGATCTACAGAGGAAAAATAATCAAGTATTTGAAAACAGAACCATATGACCCAGGTGTACCACTCCTGGATATTCATACCCAAAAGGACTATATATCTTACAGCAGAGACTTGCATATCCATAGTCATTGACATTCTATTCACACCAGCTAGGAATGGAATCAACTTAGATATCCAAAAACTGGCAAATGGATAAGGAAAATGTGGTACATATACACAATGAAATATTACCCAGTTGTAAAGAAAAACCAAATCATGAAATTTGCAGGCAAATGAATAGAACTGAAAAAAATACTGAGTGAGGTCACCAGGCCCAAAGACAAACATTGCATGTTCCTCTCATATAAAGACCATTCCTTCAAATCTTTTGTTTCGTGCGTTTACCCTGGAGAACTCATTCAGGGGGGAGGACACCAAAATACAAGGGAAATGAAATTCAGAGGTGGAATGCTGAATGCAGAGAGGTTTCAAGCGGACAGTGGAGTAAAGAGGACTGAGAAACAAGGAGACATGAAAGTGCTAACAAAAATGAAGTGTGCATTGTGCATAAAGAATAAAGAAGCCACATGATCTTGCAACTCAAGTAAAAATAATAGTAAGAGATAGCAGAACACATATGATACGAAGAACATGGGAGGGGGTAGTACAAGGAGCTAAAGGCTGAAGAGAAGAAGGGGGCAGTGGTTGAGGAAAGGAGTACAGGGGGTAGGTCTAACCAAAACTAACAACCTATGGAGAAGCATTATTAAACCACATCCTTTGGTAAGCTAATTATATTTAGTTTTTCTTTAAAAAAAAAGTTTAGATGTCAGTACCCTACATGGATGAGCAGACTGTTTCCAAATGATGGGTTATTAAATATCTGTTTCATGCACAGGTCAACTCCCTATGAATTATTGGCCAAGAAGTTCCCAGAAGTACCAAAAACAATATAGGCTACTGCCTTTGCTCCCGACTGCCCACCATAAGTACAGAGTAATACCTAAGTGCTGAAGACACCTCGTACTTCAGTTACAGGACATAGAAATCAATCAAACTGATCAGGAAACTCCCCGCTAGCTAGCTTTCATAATGCTAGAATGTACTAGAGGAGAGGAGACATCAACGGTGTTCTGTACCCTGAACACTACAATACAAACCCAGGGGGCATGATGGACCCACTGGTGCAACAGCAATAAGACTGCCCATAGTTATAACCAACCACTCTCGTGATTAGATCTGAGGTCTGCTGCACAGGAGGGATTTCATGCCAGGCACTATTCTCAGTCAAAATGCATGGTCAGGAAGGTTATAGGCTCTACAGGAGAACCTATCAATGTTGCTTTGCTAAATGGCCATTTTGTCAAATTGCTCTCTAAATATTTATCCATTAAATGTGTGCTGTTCTCAATCTTTGTCAGACAATCTTTTTACTAAAGAAGATACTGGCTACTGCAGACTCATAACTGTCCAAAGTGCTGAAAATAAGTAACTATGAGTGCTCAGATACAAATGCAACATGCACATTAACCACCACTCCTAGCCCCCTGCAAGGCTCAGAGAACAGAGAAGGAGCAGAAAGAATGGAAGGACCTGAGGATGGAAGAAATGCTGTTTTCATGTGGCTACTAAACAAAAACTCATAGCACCTAGTTATAACTAGTTATACAAGACACACAAGATCAAACTATCTTTAAAAGAATATATCCAACATGGAAATGGGTGGGGCTCCTAATGCCTGTTGAGGAATTGAGAGTTATTTTTCTTTAGGGTGATGGCCACTAGAAGGCTGCCCAAAGCCCAGCAGAGGACTCTACATCCTTGCATATGTGGGCAACAATAACTGGACTCAGTTGTTTAAAAAGAAAAAAATAAAACAGGAAGTTGGAAGGGAGATGTGCTGGGGAGGGGCTGAGGAAAGCTGGAGGGAAGGACTCTACGTAGGAAAGATGATCAAGATTCATCGTATACATATATAAAATTTTCAAAGAATAAATGTTTAAAGTTAAGATCAAGCAGGCATTACCAATAGACTATCAGGGATGCTGCCTATACGCAGTCCACACTAACGAATGCAGTCCTATGGGGTGAAGCATGTGATCCTAGGTCTGCTGTATTCCATCTCAGGGATCCCAATCTTTCAGCAATATTTGGTAAGGCGGGAATATTACTGGCAAAAAGTTTAGTATGCAAATTCTTCTGAGCAGAATAAAGAAAAGGGCTCAATGTGGCCCCAATTAATCTTTAGAATCTGGTTAATACTTGCTCATATCCCTGTTTGACAAAGGAAAGACAGGCTCAGCACTCAGAGCACTCCCAAGCAATGGGACACAGTAAAAACTATTGCACTACTGTGCTCGCACTGTGCGAGCTATGATTTCTCTACTACAAGTAACACCGAAATTCACTACATAGAAATAAGACTCTGCTTTTCAACTTTAAAGGATGGATTTGGAGAGACGGCTCAGTGGGGGTTTTTTTGGTTTTTTTTTTAATATTTATTTATTTATTATATTATGTGTATAGCATTCCTTCCATGTGTACCCGCAAGCCAGAAGGGGGCGCCAGGTCTCATTATAGATGGCTGTGAGCCACCATGTGGTTACTGGGAATTGAACTCAGGACCTCTGGAAGAGCAGTCAGTGCTCTTAACCACTGAGCTATCTCTCCAGCCCGGCTCAGTGGTTAAGAGCATGTACTGCTCTTGCAGAGAACCCCAGCTCAGTTCCCAGCTCCCACACTTGCTAGACAGATGATATCTACCTGTAACTTTTGCTCCAAAGGATCTAACACCCTCTCCTGGGCCTCTGTGAGCACCTATATTCACATGCACATATTTAAAAAATAAATATTTCTTCAAAAATTTAAAGGGGCTATTTTGTTTTGGCTTTTTTTTTCTGGTTGGTTCGTCAGTCAGTTGGTTGGTTGATTGGTGGGGTGGTTAGTTAGTTGGTTTGGACTGGATTCTTCAGGGTAACTCAGGTGGCCAGGAATTCTTTATGTAGCCCAGACTGATCTCAAACTCATGGTATTTCTCCCACCACAATGTCCCAAGTGCTGGAATTGTAATGTGCCCCCATAGAGAGCTGACTCTATTGTCAGGATCAGGTTAGCCAATAGCTAGGTAAAAACTATACTAATCAAATGACTAAATGTTGGTAAGTCTAATGCTGAACAAAACAGCTATATATTTTGTGAGAAATGTAATCTTTAACCCTTTAAAAAAGTAAAAATAGGGGCTAGAGAGATGGCTCAGAGGTTAAGAGTGCTGGCTGCTCTTTCAGAGGACCTGAGTTCAATTCCCAGTAACCACATGATGTCTCACAACCATCTGTAATGAGATCTGGTGCCCTCTTCTGGCCTGCAACCATACAGAGAGACAGAACACTGTATGCATAATAAATAAATAAATCTTAAAAAAAAAAAAAGTAAAAATATAGACTTGATTGTAATCAACAATCTGTTTGACTTTCCAATAATTTAGATACGGAGGGTGTAGCTGGGCAATGGTAGTACATGCCTTTAATCCCAGCACTTGGAGGGAGTGGCAGGTGGATCTCTGTGAGTTTGAGGTCAGTCTCGTCTACAAAGCAAGTTTCTGGATAGGCAGGACTGTTACACAGAGAATCCTGTGTCAAAAAAAAAAAAAAAAAAAATGAGGATGTGTCTGTGGCCATGCACCCTGAACTGACCCGATCTTAGCTATCTCAGAACCTAGCAGGATCAGGCCTGGTTGGTACTCTGAAGGGAGGAGCAGAGGTTGCCCATGATCACCACTTTCTGCCATCACCCAGACTGATCCCTACTCGTTCTGATCTCTAGCACAGTCTTTAGCTGGGTGCCGTTACCATCAAGAGTGTGTCTGAAAGGAAGAAAAGAATCACAACAGTCAACAAAAGCAATGTTTTCCAAATCTAAAGCTGTTACTACTTGTCCAAGTTTCAGATGATTCTTGCACAGTTTACCAATAATTTTAAAGACAGTTACTTACTGGTATTATGGATGTAGTCCTAAAAAGGTACAGTCAAGATGATAATGAACCAGAGATTCAGAAGCAGGAGTTAGGAGTCCCAGGTCTACTGTTAACTGAGTAAAAGTACACGTATTTCCATAAATTTGCCTCATCTTGCCTCTTCTTTCTTTTTTTAAAGATCCTGATTTTATCTTTGTGGGTGTGTGAAGGTGTGCCTGCATGCACACATGTTTATGTATGTCATGTATGTGAAGGTGCCCATGAGTACCAAAGGCATCAGATGCTGTGCAGCTGCAGTTACAGGAGGTTCTAAACGCTGTGTGTGGCTGCCAGGAACTGAAGTCAGATCCTCTGAGAGCAGCAATAGTTCTTAACCACTGAGCAATTTCTCCAGCCCCCCTCAACTCTCATTGTACAAGATTGGAGTGTGGTGGGAAAACAGAATAAACAAAATAATAAATATTTAAAATTACTTTGGTTTTAACATGACTGATCCAAACATATGTACTATATAAGGTAAGTAAAAGAGGGGAAATAAGGAAGCTGTAGGTAGAAGTACCACTGTAAAACATTCCAACCAAGATACAGAATAACATCTAACAGGTTCTTTGGTTCCAAGCCTCTTTGTCAGATATACAAAATGCAGTCTTTGGTGTTTTTCACAGCAAGAAATGGAAAACATCCTTTTTGGTTGCTACTCCACCTCCCCCACAAGGTCTCACCTGCATGTACCAGCACAAAGCCCCCTCGTTTCTCCTCACAAGGCTGCCTTGTTTCCGGTTCCTTGACTGTGACTTGAGCGGCGGATGCCTGAAGTGCTCGGGAAGGCAGTCCTTCTCCAGAACTCATCCCCTTCTCCATGGTCATTCTCCAAGATTATCATCTTCTATCAGGAAAAGAGCATCCTTCCATGCAACAGCAACTATAAAAAGAGTTACCCTAGGGGAAAAAAGGAAAAGATTACCTCTGTTTCTTTCTACCAGCATACACACTACTTACAAAAAGTCATACACATATTTTTTAAAATAGATTATTTTTTAAATTATTGAATTGGATAACAGTAACATAACATGTTTACAATTTATATCCATCTCCAGTGACAGTACTTGTCTGAAGACATATAAACAAAAGAACTTACTATAAAAAGATCTCATCTGGGCTGAGTGTGGCAACACACGCCTTTACCAGAGCTCTGGAGAGTCAGAAGCAGGGGGATCACTGACTTTGAGGCTAGCCTGGTCAGTCTGTCTGTCTGTCTATCTATCATTATATATATATATGTGTGTGTGTGTGTGTGTGTGTGTGTGTGTGTATGTATATGCATATGTATATATAGCAAGTTATATATAGACAGTTCTAGCCTACCCAGGACTACATAGTTAGATCCTTAAAAGGGGGGGGGGGGAACTCTCCAAAAAAAAAACTCCACCTAGTCCAAATGTTGTCTTTGTGTTGCCCATACTGAAGTAACCTCAACATAGCGTGACTATCACTTTATTTTCCCTGCACACCAGCCAATCTCTGGGACATTTGAAATTACAAGCACCACTGGCACACTAAACTAAGATAAAGTCTAGCTTTCTATTTAAAGAAAGCAACAAATTCATACTTACATGTGAGGTATTTTTAAATTTTTATTCGGTATTACATGCGTACATATTGTGGAGGTAGCAGTCAGAGGACAACACTGCGGAGTCAGTTGTCTCCTTCCACCTTACATGGGTTCTGGGAATCAAGCTCTAGTTGCTGGCCTTACAGAGCAAGCACCATTACCAGCTGAGCCATCTCGCCAGCTTGAATGTTTGTTGGCACAAGACCTCACTATATGGCTCAAGCTGGCCTGAACGCCCTGCTCCATGACTATACTGCCACAGCCTTCTGAGTGAGTACTGAGATTACAGAGTGTAATACCACTGTTCCCATTTACAAAAAATTCTTCAATTCTCAAAATCATCAGTTAAATGCTGCTCAGTGCAATTATGAAACATAAATTCTAACAAAATTATGTCTAAACCAAGAATCAATCATGAAACATAAATGCTAACAAAGTTATGTCTAACCCAAGAAATTAAACAAGCACCCTTTCAAACAGCTGTCAGCATGAAAAGCAGGAAGTTCTCCACAGGTAAGTAATGAGACAAAAAATTTAATAAAACAATTTTCAAGTGACTAATGCCATTAAGCTTTTAAATTTAGTCACTATGGAGTAAAAATTCAAAAACATTACACAATTAAATTTTAATAACAGCAAAGAGGTCAGAATTTATTCTAAATTAGGACTAAACATACCACTTTAAAAGCAACAAAGAGATTTAAAGAAAACATGACAGTGGGGTGGTCAAAACTTTTTAAATGACAATGTTAAGTAAAAATACTCAATCGTGGGCTGGAGAGATGTCTCAGCGGTTAAGAGCATTGCCTGTCCTTCCAAAGGTCCTGAGTTCAATTCCCAGCATCCACATGGTGGCTCACAACCATCTGTAATGAGGTCTGATGCCCTCTTCTGGCTGGCAGGAATACACGCAAACAGAATACTGTATACATAATTAATAAATAAATATAAAAAAATACTCAATCATATTAAATTGAAAAAAGGAAGGGGTCAGATATTGTGACATATGTCTATAATTCCAGCATCGATAAGGCTGAGACAGAGGATTGCAAAATAAAGGTCAAGAGGGTTACACAGCTGGAAGCTGGTTCAAAGATAAATCAATTCGATTCAATTAAAAGCAGCCATTAGAAGGAATGAAGAAGTTCTTGATTTATAGACATGGAACAAACATCTAGTTAAAAACTATTTTAAAGCATACAAATAATCAACTGAGAAGTTTGAGACCATAGTTGGGTATACAATGATATCCAGAATACCTTGATCGAAAAGTTAGACTCTTTTTAAGAAATGTATATTTATTGTCTGTCTGTGTGTGTGTGTGTGTGTGTGTGTGTGTGTGTACACACACATATTTGGTTTTTCAATGCAGGGTTTCTCTGTAGCTTTGGAGTCTGTCCTGGAACTAACTCTTGTAGACCAGGCTGGCCTCGGACTCACAGAGATCCACCTGCCTCTGCCTCCCCACTGCTGGGATTAAAGGCGTGCGCCACCACCCGGCTCCACTTTTAAATATATATAGAATATAGATGTAGATAGGTAGGTAGGTAGATAGATAGATAGATAGATAGATAGATAGATAGATAGATAGATGTATACACACACAATGTGGTGGTTTAAATAGGAAAAGCCCCAATAGACTCACATGTTTGAGTGTTTGGCCCAAGGGGAGTAGCACTATTAGGAGGTGTGGCCTAGTTGGAGTGTGTCATTGTGGGGGTTGATTTTGAGGTCTTATATGGTCAAGCTACACCTAGTATGGTACATAAGTCTCCTTCTGCTTGCCTGTGGATCGAGATGTAGAACTCTCAGCACCTTCTCCAGCACCGTGTCTGCCTGCACACTGCCATGCTTCTCACCATGATGATAATGGGTTAAACCTCCAAAAGTGTAAATCAGCCCCAATTAAATGTCTTCCTATATAAGAGTTGCCATGGTCACCATGCATGGTGGTGCACATCTTTAATCCCAGCACTCAGGAGGCAGAGGCAGGCGGATCTTTCTGAGTTTGAGGCCAGTCTGGTTTACAGAGCAAGTTCCAATACAGCTAAAACTGTTCCACAGAGAAACCTCATCTCAAAAAAAAAAAAAAAAAAAATGCCATGGTCATGGTGTCTCCCCACAGCAATAAAATCCTAACTAAGGCGTACACATGTAATGAATGTTATCTATATAGTCTATCAGATCTGTTCCTTTAGAGAAGCTTAATATATATGCATACAACATATATGTGTATATATATACATTATATATATTATAGAAGCACTAGTTATTGAACTAAGTCCACGATCCAGAAACTATAAGATTCCACTTTAAAACTGCTATAACAAAGGAAATGCCATATTCTGAATTTACTTTGATTTCTAAGTGACATCTTTATAGTGCTACCTCAGAAAAGAATATAGAAAAACACGCCCAATGACTCATAAAGGAGCTATTTTTGTTTCAATTTTTCTGAATCTTGAATTTATAGGGACACATAAACTACAGGTAACTGGAAAAGGAAAGAAAAACATTGATTTCTGCCGATCAGACAGGGGGTAGGGCATGACATTTGATTAACATTAAATACCTCTGTGATATGTTTTCATACTTGTCACTGTTATTACATTATTTGAAACATGTAGTACACGTATACCAAGTATTAGCTCAAGAGAAACATCTATTGCTTCAGCTCAATTCTGAGGCAATACCCACAACAAAATGTTCTTAATGATCAGAGACGTGCAGGTATTAAAAGTTCTATGCAATGAGAACTAAGAACACTAGGCTGGATAAGCTCTAACCGTGCACGTCTACATCCAAGCCCATAAACATCATAAATTACTTTAAATATTTTAATCTTTAAAGAATTCTATAGCTCATCTTCATATTGCCTTCATTTCTGAACAATGCATTTAAATATGAACATTTCACAACTTCCCTATCAGTAATGATATTAAAATTCATTGTGAACATTATTTCTTAACACTGGCAACTTGCTCATTCTCTACAAAATTTTCTTAAAGAATTAATGATTACATAGATGCCGAAAACAAGTGAGACAGCATGTGTGCCGAACATGCACAAGGTCCTGGAATGGATCCCCCAAAGCAAGATGGCTAAGACAATAAAAAGAGCACTTGAAACGTAAGCCTTGTGATCTGAGTTCAAAACTCAGACAGAACCCATGATATAGGAGAGAACCATCTCCTGAAATTTGCCCTCTAACCTCCAAACATGTGCCATGGCACATATACAATAAAAATGTTTTTAAGATTTTTTTTTTAAAAAAAAGGTTAAGAGTGTTATCATATGCCCAAGGCTGGACATGACAGCACATGTCTATAATCGTAAAATTTGAGACTCTGGGGAAGGAGAGTTAAGAATCTAAAGCTAAACCAGGCAGTGGTGGGGCACACCTTTAATCCCAGCACTCAGGAGGCAGAGGCAGGCGGATCACTGCAAGTGCATGCCCCACACACAGACACAGTAAGTAGTTTTCTTAAAAATAAATAAAAGTTAACTTCTTCACAGATTTCCAAATTTTATTCATAGGAGCCAAAATTAGGGAGCACTTTAAATGCTCATCAAGTGACAATGGATTAATTAAAAACAAAATGTGATATATTTGTAAAACAGAGCATCAGTGAGCCATTACAAAGAGTAGAATATAAATAAGCATTAGAAACAGTGAGTAGAAACCAAGGAAGGCCACCAATCTATCATTTATAAAAAATTTAAGTGGACAGAAAGTGAGCCATCCGCGTGGCTTAAAGGTGGAGAAGCAATGGGAGCGACCGCTGATGGAGGCATAATAGACTGCTAATGGTCATACCTGGAAAGGAGGTGTTCACTTGTGGAGAAGCTGTGTCCTGCTCTAAGTCACAACAAGACAGAAAACAGTGGCTTCCAGGCCACGCATTGGCCTAGGTGACTCCATTTTACAAGCCAAATTTTGTCCATTTTGAGTGAGGAAACAGAGGCAAATTGACTCTGTTCCTCATTGTACACACTGTGCACAGAAACTGCTATCTGTCCAGCACCACCCACGGCACAAGACTGAAAATCAACTTTTTCTTTAACGTAAAGAAACACCTCTATAAACGTATCAGACTGGAGACGTATGAGTACATGGGCATATTAACCTTTATCAGACAGAAACAAGCCAAAACTTTATCAAAGACATCAGTCTGAGGAAGGGTGTTACACCTTTATCCGGGCATCCTAACACTTGAGCAACAGCCTCAACAACCTGTCATCTCACCACCAGTGTGTGTATAAAGGGTCCCACAGGCAAAGGAATCTGGACTGTCTCTGAGGATTAAGCTAAATCCCCACTGATGACATGGCCCACTCAAATTATCGTCTGCCCAGATCTAGCCCCACAACCTCACCTCGACTGCCTCCGCAGTTCCACACATCACCTCTGCAGCTCAACTCAACCCTGAGGCCTGGGATCAACTCTGGCCCTGCAGCCCTGCTTTGTTTGGCTCCTACAGCTCTACATCTGCTTCAGCCTCCACCTCTGCCTCCAGGAAGGCCTCTGAGAACTGCCTGAACTCCCTGCACCTCCTTTACCGCATTCTGGCATTCTGTGATGATGTGTGTGTTAGTGTGGGTTCCAGTATGTGGTCATCACTGCACAGTACGCAGAGTGATTGGAGTAATTAAGATTGGGATCAAAGAACCTGGGTTTGCAACAGCTGGCTCAAGGCAAATATAACTTTACAAATTAGAAGCAACAAAAACTTGTGAATCTTTTTTTCTTTCTTTTTGATTTTCTGTTTGTTTGTTTTTGAGAGAAGGCAGCAATGTACCGTACCCCTGCAGGCCTTGAAGAGTTATCAACAATGGCCTTGAATTTCTGTTACTCCTGCCTGACTCTACCTCCAGAATTCTGGAATTACCACACCCAATTATGCAGTCCTTGAAGTCTAACGGAGAGTTTGTAGCCTGTAGGCAAATAAACACTCGAACAGCAAAGTAATATGCCAATGCACTCCCTAATAATAAATAAATAAATTCTAACATCTAGAAAGATACAAACGTTTTATGTATGAGCATAACATACTCATGACACCAGTGATTAAGAGCTGGGCATGGTAGCTTTAATCCCAGCACACAGAGATAATACGTAAGAGGAAATAGAAGCTGAACACCCATCTTTAATCCCAGCACTCGGGGAGGCAGAGGCAGGCGGATCTATCTTTATGAGTTTGAGGCCAGCCTGGTCTCCAAGAGCTAGTTCCAGGACAGGCTCCAAAGCTACAGAGAAACCCTGTCTAGAAAAACAAAAACAAAAAATCCAATAATAAAGAATATTCATTAAAAAAATCGTCTCTAACAAAACTGTACTGGTACCTTAAGCTGGATGTAACTGTTTTGAAAAGGAGTCTATAAGTATGAAAAGCCTGAAAATACACAATACTGTTGGTATCATTTCTCCAGAAACTACATATGACCTAGTCTACACAGATTGTTAACAGTATCCCAGATACACTTCTAAGGAGAACTGAGAAATCCTGTCTTCTCTAGTATCCTCCATATTTGAACTTGCGTTATTAAATACTAGGCACTGAAAAGAGACTTTATTTGACCATTTCTGAGACCAAGATAAATGCTAATTCACTAGTAATCAAAATAAAACATTATTTTTTTTTTTACTTCAGAGACTTTCTAGGTACAAATTTATGGTATAAATCTTGACCTTGACCTCAAATATATTTATTATATATTACATTATACATTATTATATTTATATTATATGTAGTATACACATGGATATATATGATACAATGTATATACAATGCACATATAAGTATATTATACTATTTTTAAATTTTCCTATCACTTGAGATGACATGCTTTTTAATTAAACAATTTAGAAAAGTATCATGTGTCCTGTTTAATCTTTCCAAGGCAGTGTAGGAGAAGATAGTCAAGAAATCACCTATCTGGGGCTGGAGAGATGGCTCAGAGGTTAAGAGCATTGCCTGCTTTTCCAAAGGTCCTGAGTTCAATTCCCAGCAACCACATGGTGGCTCACAACCATCTGTAATGGGGTCTGGTGCCCTCTTCTGGCCTTCAGGCATACACACAGACAGAATATTGTATACATAATAAATAAATAAATATTTAAAAAAAAAAAAGAAAGAAAGAAATCACCTATCTGATAATAAAATATGTCTTTACAGAAGAAATCCAGCCTGTAAGCTATTGCAATTGATAATAGAGAACCATGCTGTTAGCTGGCCACAGTGGCTCTTCAGAGAGGCATTGGCAGGAGGATGGCTGCAAGTTTAAGGCCAGCCTGGCCTACATAAAGGGTTGTAGGCCAACCAAGAACATGAGATGAGAAGCTCTCGTTTTAAAAAAAATAAAACACAGTATTTTGTGCTTTTAGTGTCATAACACTGAAATTGCAATGCTTCATTAAATGAGTTCCAAACAAATTTAAATTCATCTTTGACCAGTAATTCTACTTCCGGGCACTCCTTCTACCTAAATTTTAAACAGAAAAAGCTTAGTCTTTCTTAGGTTGGTTTATGTTGTTGTTGACAATTAGTTTTGCTTTGTGAGACTGGGTGTCACGTAGCCAAGGCTAACCTAAAATTCCTGCTCCTCCTCCCTCTGCTCCCAAGTTCTAGAAATTCCAGCATGTGACACCACTCCTGGTTAGCTTTACATATCCATGCTATGCTTAATATATGATAATATGGAATTTTAAGAACATATGTGCAACCGAAGAGTTCAACAGAAAGGAATGGTTATAACTAACATTATTTGTGGCAAATTGATTTTCAAGATGGATTCCTAAATCAGTTAGTGGGAAAAGGAAAGTCACCAAAGGTGATGAAAAATATACAGCCAGAAGGCAAAAAGTAAAGGTGCACTCCCCTCTGCTACTATACGCCAAATTTTAGTACATCAGAAACAAGAGTCGAAACTACAAAAACATTTAGAGTTACCAGAAGTTGTACGGGGGTAAATATTTGTGACTCTAGAATCATCAACGTTTTTTGTTGTGGTGGTGGTTTTTGATTGTTAGGTTTTAAAGACAGGGTCTCTCTATCTGAAGCACTATTATGTAGCTCTGGCCTGTTAATAACAGGCACACATGTGGTGCATGGACATAATTATAAAGATAAATCTGGTTGAACATTAGACAATTCTCCAAAACTATATAAGAATCAAAAAGTACATAGAAAGATGGTTAAGATTACTAACCATAAAAATCAAAACGAGATACCACTAAGATGCATATAAGCAAAACAGGTGTTTGCCAGGCATTAGAGAAGCAGGCCTTCCTAATCTGTGGGATTCAATATGCTGGAGCCACTTCAGAAAGATCTGCTCAGTTCTCAAAACACAAGACCACACCCTAAAAACAATATCCACACAGAAAGTCAGAGGATGTGTAGAATTATTCCAAACAGCCCAAAATACAAAACAATACAACTGCATATCCATAAAAAGGAGTGAGTTATGTGTAGGTCAGTGGTAGAATTCTTACCTAGCATGTGTGAGGTCCATCCCCAGAAAAACAAGGAAAAATAAATAATAAATAAAAAGGAATAAACGTATTGTTGCATAGACATGGACAAACCCTGAAAACATTACCCTTTCAGAGACTAGACATGACAAGGACACCTGTTATATGATTCTATTTACTTAAAATATACGAAACAGGAAGATGCACACTGAACCACGGATCAGAAGTTGGGGGAGGGGGACCGTTGGAGGAGGGTTAACTATATTGGGTACAAGATTTCTGGTGAAGCTGATAAAAACGTTCTGGAACTAAACGGCAATACTACAAAACTTTTGAAAACCTTAAACACACACACACAAAGAGAGAGAGAGAGAGAGAGAGAGAGAGAGAGAGAGAGAGAGACTTAATGTAAAAGAATGGACTTTGTACTGCCTTGGTTACACCCCAATACGAAAAAAGCATAACCAGGGCTGGAAAGATGGCTCAGCAGTAAAGAGCACTTGCTTCTCTTGCAGAGGATTTGAGTTGTTCCTAGCACCACATGCTGGCTTATAACCATTCATGATTCCAGCTCCAGGAAATTAAAGGCCGTCTTCTGGCCTCCACGGATACGCACGTGGTGCACAGACAGACATTATGATGCATGCATTCACACGTAAAATTAAAAAAAAAAAAAAGACAAAGCATAATCAATCTATCCATGCTCCATGCAGTGAGTACAACATACACAAACTGCATTTTTTTTAGTTTGAACTGTAGGCTCACACACTTGCAGGTCATAGCTTAAAACACCTAAGAAATGAGAAAGAACAAAATCCTTAGCAGTTATGCTAATCTCTAACTATTTCTGCATTTCCCAAACGTTTTCTAATAACCACTGCTCTCTGAAGTCGTGAGAGGAAAACGGTTTATTTACAACAAACAGAAAGGGAAATTATTAAACGCCCAAGTGTGTGAGCTAAATGTCCTTAGCTTATTTTTCAAGGATCTTAGTCCAATGGCCCCCAGTGAAGCTTTCTTTTCTCTCCCTAGCAGAATTAGGTTGAACTCGGAATCTCCATGCCTGTACTTCAAAACACCTCCAGCTACTGTTTTCGCCCGCCTCTCCAGCTGCCTCATCTACTCCGTCCTAGCCTCCGATGCCTCAGCCCTGGATGCTAACATCCCTCGGGACTCTACCCGGGCCTCTAAGACATTCCGGGAAGCTCTGGCCCCACCGCGACACCGGTATGTGGCACATCGCCGGTCCTGCGCGGACCCGGGGACCGCGAGTTCCCTGCAGCCTGTGACTGCACAGCGCGCGAAGCGCTACGAAAACTCCGCAGCCAAGGAAACTGGCGGGCCCCACGCGTGACCGTGACTCGGGGCCTGGAACTCCGTGGGCCCCTGCCCCAGGACAGGCAGGTGGCGCCGTGGGCGCCGTCCCGTGCGGTCGGGAGAGGACGCCGCTCGGGCCTGCGGGGCCACACGGAGACCGAGGCTCAGCGGCGGCGGCGACGCGGACAGCGTGAGAACGAAGGACACTCACCCGCGTCAGCGCAGAGCACTCCTTACACCGGAAGTAATCGCTCGCCCGTTGCCAGGGTGAGGAAGCGGGAGTGGCGTGAAGCCTTTCCATTGGCTGAGGGTGCACACGAGGCCGGAAGCAGACGCCCTATGTCTCTAAGCCTGTGTTTCTGCTATCTATCCGGTAACGGGTTCTTGGGCTTGAAAGCAGAGGCACATAGGTCTGTCTGCGGCTTCTGATATGTTTTTTATTTATTGATTGATTGATATATTTGGGTTTGTTTGTTGTCGTAACTGTGCAGTCACCGTTACCCATCTGGCCTTCACTTTGCTCTGTAATTAATTTGCTAGGTGTGTCTGCCTCTTACCCACGTGGTTAGCTGACTAGCGCAGTTGCACGACATGGAAATAGTGGCCATCATTGATTAAGGCGTTGCTGAAGAACCCTTCTTCCCTCATCCTTGCAACCCGACACCTATGGAAAACAAGGATTATATCTGGGTTACAGTATAGTTGGAGTCAGCTTTACTCTAGGAAGAAGGAAAATGTAGTTGTTATGCCCAAATCCACGAAGTGTCTCCAAACCAACAAGGAGACCGAGTCCCGTATATAAAGCAAAGAGCCTTTATTTTATGCAAGTTTGCAAACTCGGTCTCTCCGCAAGTCCAATGTATTGGAATAAACGGAGAACCTCGAGCTCAAGAGTTGAGTTTTTATAGTAGTAAAGGTGGGGGGTGAGGGGTTTCTGAGGTTCCGGACCCCTGATTGGCTGACATTTGTGAAGGGGTGTCCTGGTGAGTGTGTGCTGGCAGGTTGATCTTGTTTACAGCGGTTGGAACTTGGAACGTTAGGCATTTCCTCTGGATGGTGCTCAGGTAATCTTAGTTTATGGTCCTTCCTGCAACCAAGTATTGCTTCAGGGTAAACTCTGTGACGCAGCCTCCATTAAACTTATCCATGACCCAGTCCTACTCTGGCAGGTGATAATGGTTGAAAGTAACGAACTTCCTTTGGGTGGTCTGTTTTTATTTAGCTTATCATGGCTTATCACGGCCTTATTTTACTGCCCAAGATCAAAGATCAAAACCCGGTAGCAATTACATACAATGTTTCTTGTATGTAATTGTATCACGTATCCTTTAGCAGATAGCCAGCTTAGGGTAGCAGACATTGGAAAGAATAGAATAGTGCAAATTAAGTATCTCTTATCTGAAATACTTGGGATGAAAAACAGTTGGGATTTTTAAATTTTTTTCAAAGTTTGAAATACTTGCTTATACATAAGACTTCCTGGGTATGGGACACTAGTTGCAAAAGTAAATACTCACTTGTATTTAATACAGACCTTACACACAGAGCCTAAAGTTAATTTTGTGAAGCATTTTTAAGTAACTTTGTGCATAGTGTGGGAGCAATTGGGGCTGTGAATTTTTATGTTAAAGATGCTTGGCATGTACTTTTTCCTATATGACGTCCCAAACCAGCAATTTAGGATCAACAGAGCTCCTGCTAAGAATGCAAATCTTTAAAACCTGGGCACAGTAGTTCATTCCTTAAATCCCAGCATTCAACCAGCCTGGTCTACATAGGGAGGTCCAAGAGAACCAGGGCTGCTACTCAGAGAAACCCTGTCAAAAAAACAAAAAAAAAAAGGAAGGAAAAGGAAGAGAGATGCAGGAAGGCAGTCTGGGGAGAAGATGAAACCAAGTCTTGATTTCTACCCTAAGATTCCTAGATTAAAATATGTGAATTGTAAAGAAAATATTTCTTTTCAGCTGCTGGTAACCCCAGATATATAATTAATAATTTTTATATGTCCAGAATATCTTTTCTTTTTGGTTGTGAGCCTAGCCTTTTAATGGCTGAGCCATCTCTCTAGCCCAGTCCAGGATATCTTTCTGTAATATTTTCTTCCATGGGAAGAAATTTAGAGACAGTTCTGAAATTTATCAATTTAAGCAAAACATTAGATTTGAAAGGGAATGTATAAACCAGTATTAAAAAATGAGTGGTTTGGATAAGGGAGGAAAAGTGTTTAATAGTTAGGTCAGTGAATAGTAACAATACTGTATAAGTTAACAGCAAAGATTCTAGAAACAAAATTGGTGTTTATATCTTTGTTCTACTACTTAACTGTCACAATGTTACTTAATCTCCACACTTGTAAAATGAGGACAAAAATAGTTGTTTGAAATAAATTGGGGCTGGAGAGATGGCTCAGTGGTTAAGAGCACTGCCTGCTCTTCCAAAGGTCCTGAGTTCAATTCCCAGCAACCACATGGTGGCTCACAACCATCTGTAATGAGGTCTGGTGTCTTCTTCTGGCCTGCAGACATACACACAGACAGAATATTGTATACATAATAAATAAATAAATATTAAAAAAAGAAATAAATTAATATGTGAGAAGCACTTTTTAAAGTGTCAGCCTCGTAGTGAGTAATCTATCAATGCTAATTGTTTATTTTTTCATTTTGGAGACAAAAATCTTACAGTATAGTCAAGGATCTTACAAGGATGTTTTTGCCTCCCCTTCCCAAGTGTTGGGATTACATGTGCCACCATGCCTGATTTAGTAGATGTGAAAATTTGTAAATAGGCTTTTTTTTTAACAGTGTGTGTGTGTGTGTGTGTGTGTGTGTGTGTGTGTTCAGCCTGGTCTACAAGAGCTAGATCCAGGACAGGAATCAAAAGCTACGGAGAAATCCTGTCTCGAAAAATCAAAAAAAAAAAAAAAGAAAGAAAGAAAGAAAAATACTTTCTTTTATAGAAGTTTTCATTGTCATGATGTCACAGCAATAGAACAGAGGTAATTGGATTTTTTTTTTCTGAAAAATATTTGCTAATAAGAACTTTGCCGGGCTGGAGAGATGGCTCAGTGGCTAAGAGCATTGCCTGCTCTTCCAAAGGTCCTGAGTTCAATTCCCAGCAACCACATGGTGGCTCACAACCATCTGAAATGAGGTCTGATGCCCTCTTCTGGCCTTCCGGCATACACACAGAAAGAATATTGTATACATAATAAATAAATAAATAAATATTTTTAAAAAAAAAAGAACTTTGCCTACACAAGCACAGGCAGTGATGGGAGCATGCATGCCACATCATGTTCATATATTAATGAGTTGATAATTTGTGGAAATTCAATCCCTGTTTCTACTCTGTGGGTCCTAGGAATCAAACTCCTCAAGCTTGCACTGAGCTATCTCACCAACCTCCAAACAGTAATTTTGAAAGAAATAAAGAAGTTTCAGCTGGAAAGATGGCTCGTCAATTAAGAGCGCTGACTGCCTGGGCAGTCAGTGGCACATGCCTTTAGTCCCAGCACTCGGGAGGCAGAGACAGGCAGATCTCTGTAAGATAGCAATTCACCAAGTGTGGTTCAGGTTTCATGGGAGAAACCCCAGATCATATCAATGGTGAGATGTTTACTAATTTTAAACTGCTAAACCGGGCAGTGGTGGCGCACGCCTTTAATCCCAGCACTTGGGAGGCAGAGGCAGGCGGATCTCTGTGAGTTCGAGACCAGCCT